AAAAAAAAATTTTGAATTTACTTACTTGTAGCCAGAGTTAGAGGCGGTCGGATACTTATGACCGCTACTGTATAGTAGATCAGAATAGATCACTAAAAGAAATATTAATAAATTCGTAAAATTAAATCTAAAAAAAAAAAGATTTTAGAACTGTTGGTGACTTATTTTAAATATCTAACTAATTATTAAGTAAATCAAATTAGAAAAGCATTAGGAATAAATGGGATAAGAATTGAATTTATTAATATATATTCCATTATAAGCATAATAAAAACAAGTTATAAATAAATTTCTCTCTTATATTTATATTACTTATTTTTTATTGAAATAAAATTTATTTTTAATAAAAGTTTATTCAAGTTTTATTATATTAAAATAGTATTATTATATATGATTTCTTAAAGTAATTTTATTGATATCAAAAAAAATAATATTAAGAGTAAAGAATAATTATATTGTGGCTTAGAACAAAAAACTTTGTGTGATATCTTTTAGATAAATATTACACAAGTAATTTTAGTTATAAATCAGTAATATAAAATAGATATGCATAATGATTGTTAATATAACAAATTTTTATAGATTTGTATTAAAAATATATCATATTATTTCAAAAATAAACATTATGTAACATGCTTCTTTTATAGTAATTTATTTATTTGTTCTTAATTTTTATTATATTAATTATTACCTATATACTAATAAATATATATATATCATATAGCACTTATTTTTAAAAGAATATGATATATATAATTTTAATAAAAATATAACTAATAATAGTAATATAAAAATTAAATTTTTTATTCTTTAAAAAATAAATATAAAATTATTTATAAAATATAGAAAAATTAATATTTATTTATCATAAAATAATAAAATTAATTTATCATATTAAAACTTATTTAATAGTAATACTTTAAATTTTATAATTAATAATTATTTCAATTTTTTACATATAACTTATTAAATAGTAATATTTTTTATATTTTAAAATTGATAATATAAATTTAAAAATTTAACATTTTTTATAATAATTTATTATATATTTATCTTTAAATATCATTAGTTAATTATAATAATTGAAAATGATTTTAATTATTAAATAAATAACAAAGTAAATTTGATCATTAAAAGAATAATAATATTATTATAAGATTAAACTTTTTAACAATAAAAATATAAATAAAGATATTAATATACAAATTAACTTTATAATAATTAAATATAAAATATATAAATATAACTAATTAGATTGCTATAATTATTTTAAATAGCTAATATTAAAACTATTATAATCAAAATTAATTATATTTATTTATTTTTAAATGTAATAATTCTAAAAATTTTATTCATTTTTAAATAATAAATAGTAAGCTAAAAAATAATCTCAATTTTAATAAAATTTTACTAATAAAAATTCTTAAAAAAATACAATAAGATATAATGCTACCTAATCTGTATAACTAAAAATATATTAAGGAGAAATCCATTGCCTTATTTAGATAGTCAATTTCCAATTTTAATCATTACTTGGGGTTTTTTTTTTCGTTTTATTTTTCCATACCTTTGACGCTTTAATAAACATATAGTTTCAAGGGTTGCAATCATAATTTTAGACTTGCCCGGTGCAAAAGTTATCATACTCGTTTAACAATAAACAATATTAGAAATAACAAGGACTTTTGGTCCTTTACTCTCTTTTATTCCCATACCTTTTTAACTTTCTCCTTTATCTTCGTCGTCATTCCTCTTTTATCGTTTCCGCAGCTTCAAAGCCTCTTTTGCGTTGAAAAATTTTGGCTTAGCCTCAAATTTCCTGTTTACTTTACTCTAGCTTTCTACATCTTTATGTAAAGACTTCGCCTCAGTTGCGAATCCATTTTTTGTAAACAAAAAAAAAAAATTTTCAACAAATAAATGCGTTTTTGTTAAGTTTGCTTATCGCAAAAATTTTATTGTTCGAAAAGATTTTCTTCAGCATACCGATACCGGCTCAATAGTCTGAAACGTGGGGTAATAAATTAAAGCAACTATTGTTTTAATTTTTGATTCTGAACTTTTGTAATTTAGAAAATTTTGAGTGAAAAGGGACCTACCTTGTAATTTATTTAACAATTTACAAAATTTTCTTTCTTTTATTGGCACAGCCGAAATAAAGATTGAATCATGGCTTATTATAATAATAATAATAATAATAATAATAATGGACATTTTCCTCAGAACACTGGATATTATGATCCGTATGATAATGATAATAGTAGATTTCTTGACCAGAGAGGAAATACTAATGTTGATAACTCTTACAATAATAAGAATGGATATGACAACCAATTAGAATATGTTCAAAATGACCATCAACCGCAACATATTAATTATGATGATGGTGGTGGGGTATATCATGATCCTAGGAATGGACTTAATAATAATGATCCGTATTATCCCACTAATAAATCTCCAGATCCTGTTGGTAGTGCATATGATGATTCAGGGTATTCTATTCCTTATAACATGCCATTACGATCTAATTCTCAAAATCAAAATTACGTCAATCCTTATACCGTCTCTTCTCATGAACCAAAACCCCTTCAATATAGTTATAACAGTCCTACACATTATCCTCCTTCTCCAGTAAACTATCCAACTTCCCCAACTGTGCAAATTCAACATCCACAAGTTCTATATCGTGGTCATACAGATCCTTATAGCGAAGGTACAACACCTAAAGAAATGTTGCCATCTGATTATTCTTCTATGCCCTCATCAACCCCTGGTCCCAAACCTCCATCCAATTATGGTCATGAGAAACCTTTTAGCCCGACTAGCGCGCTTTCTAGTAAACCTTTCATCCCTGAAGAAGAAAAAAACGCAAAACCTGGTGGGATTATGAAATTTTGTTGTTGTCGCACTACATGTGGCAAAACTTGTGCGATTATATGTTGCATTCTACTTTTCCTAATCATTGGAATTATAGCTGCTGTTTTATTATGGGCACGTCCTCCAAAAGTTGAATTCTTGGGCATTGTTCCTTCACCTAAAGGTTTACCTCCTTATGAAGCTAAGACTTCAGGATTTGATTTTAACTTTGGTTTAAAAATTCAAGTTGATAATCCGAATATAGTTGGTGCAAATTTCGAAATGATCCAAGCTACTGTAAGTTTTGTGATTCCTAATTTATTATAATATTTTATTTTCTTTTATTCTTAAAAATTATATATATATATATATATATTACTTTTCTGTAGGCATTTTATCCTGAGCATTCTGAACCAATTGGAGGCGGAAATTTGACCAATGTAGAAATCTCAGCTAAAGGAAAAACTACCATCGAATTTCCATTCTCTGTCAATTATGATAAAGATATTGATCCAGGATTTGTTATTCTTTTTGACATTGCTCGAAAATGTGGATTAACTGGAGGAGCGAAAGAAAAATTGGAAATTGATTATAAATTAACACTTACTATCAAAGTTCTTTTAGTTACCATAAATCCAAGTTTTGATAGGAAAGCTATGATTGATTGTCCAATTAAGGTAATTTGCATAACCTTTTTTTTCGTTATATATATATATTTTTTTCCCCTGAAATCTTCACAAATTTTCTTTTAATTAGGACGGACAAATACCAAATATACCAGGATTCGATATAGGTAAAGCTGCAAAAGAATTTAATAGTAAAAAGAGTAAGAGACATTTATCACCAAAACGACCTGATTATTAACACATGAAGTGTTCATTAGAGAGTTTTGGGGGTTATGGTATTTTTAGTTATTTATTTACGGTTTAAAACTTTCTTTATTATATTTATTATACAAAACCAGTTGGAATGTTTTTACTAGATTATTTAATACAAAATAAAGTGAAATATAATTTAATTCAATTATATCAGCGATCTTGATTAATTTATGTAATCATTTTTTACTGTTAAGTTTTATGTGAAAACTTTGTCTAAACAAAAAGTATTGGGTCGGTTCATGATACATTTCTTAAAATGGATAAATGGATTAAAATTAAAATTTTTAATGAAGTACCCAGAAAATTATTGGTTTTTACTAGCAGTTTCCTTCCATTCCTTTATACTATATTTTTAAATTGTAATTTGACAGTTACAAACGATAAATTAGAATCAATCTATTAATTGATTTCATTTTACTATATAAATGTTTATCAGACATAAGATAAAATCACAAAAAATTATTCGACAAACATAAGTATATAATTGTTTCTAAAACATTTTAGAAAACTTAAATATTTTGATATTTAATAATTATAAAAAGATAAAATATTTTTAGATTTATTATATTATGATGTATCTAATGGTAGTATTTTTAAACTTTTAAAATTAAAAATTATCAATACCGTATTCCTCCGAAAATAGGCTCTCCCCGAAAATAAGCACCATCTTATTTTTTTAGTATCCGAAAATAAGCACTATCACATTTTTAGCATCCAAAAATAAAAATAAATGCTAAAACAAACCCGATTTATTAAAAATTTTATAAAATTCATCAATATTTCTTTCATCATTATTAATTGATCGCTATCACCATCACTGCTACTATTATCGTCGCTGTTACCATTATCGTTCACCACCAACACACCCGAAATTACCGCTAAATTATATTCACTTTCGCGAAACTTTATTTTAACGGATTCTTTTATATGACCCCTAAATGAAACGTGTTATTAATATAAAGCATTTATCATTTTTGCGTAGCTTCTGAGATTGAAAATTTAGCAATTTTGTTAGTACCCGAAATTAAGCATCTCTATAGCAAAAAAAAGGTGCTTAATTTCGGATGCATACGGTATATATTAATTTTTCAATTTTTTAATTTTTAAATTTAGTTTTTTGGGTTCATCACATTAAGATCTATTAAATGGTAGTATTTTTATATTTCTGAGGTTATAGATAGTAAAATATATGAGTTTAAAATTTTTTTTTATTTATTATTTATTTATCTTTAAAAATCACTAGTTAATTACATTTTTTTAAAAATTTTTATTAGAAAATATCATTTAAACCTTTAATTTTATTAATTTTATTAAGACTTTAATATAGTTTTATTATTTTTATAAATTTTAATATAATTTATTTTTTTGAATTTTGCAGTTATTTAATAAGATTTTAATATAATTTTGTTAAATTTTATCATTTACTATTTAGACAATTTACAAAAATCTTTAGATTTATTTAGTAATTTTAATTATGTTATATTTAATAAATTAACTAAAATCATTTAATAGATATAAAATTTATAAGTTTATAAAATAATAAATTTAAGATTATAAATTTTTTATTAATTATAATATTAATAGAAGATTTTTAATAATTTTAATAAGTTAAATTAAAAATTATTATTTAAATAATATTATATTACTAAAAAAATAAAACTTATTTACAAATTTAAAGATATAATTAATAGGATGCTTATTTAAATTTATATGATAAAATAAAAGTTATTAATTTGTAATAGATCAGTGATATAATAAAAGTGAATAAAATTAGCAATTTTGTTAAATATTATATAGTGTTTATTTAACATTTTTTATTAAATAGTATTAGATATTACAAATTATTTATTTGTTTATTATTATATATATAAAATAATAATAATTAATAAATTAATTTAATTAAATATTTAATAAAATAATTAGCAATAAATATCATATTATTTAGAATTATTAAAAATATCTAAACTTATATAAACTATTGTTATTTTACTTATTATTTTTTAATCAATTAAATTACATAAAGATATAAGAATTGATTATATATATATTAACATATAAAAAGATGAGATCACAAATATAAATAAATTGAAACAAATCAAATTTATATCAGATAAAAAATACTAACATTTATCATTTAGATAATAAAATATTTTGTAATATAAAATAAATAATTAGTAATAATATAGAAATAATTAAAAAATAAAATAAATAGAAAATAAAATAATAAAATAATATGAAATATATCTCATATATAAATAAGAATATAAATAATAAAAAGAGATATAATTCTCAATAGTTATTATAGTTATTACAATTAACACATCCCTATAATATTAATCAAAATAATTCAAATTGATTAAAATCAAATGTTAAATTTAAACTAATTTTAATATTATTTATGGTCAAATTGTATATTTTTAAATGATTTAAAATAAAGTTAATTAATTTCAATTAGATAAAATAATTTGACATTAATTTAAAACTTAAATTTAATTAAAATTAGCCTAATATTAATCTTAATTTAACATTAATTTAAAATACAAATTTAACTGTAAATAAACATTAATTTAGTATTAATTTAATCAAATAAATATTATAAAATCAATATATTTTTATTTTATTAAATATTAAATTTTATTAATAATAAAAAAAAATAATTACTAAAATTTACTGATTTGATTACAGCTTAACCTGCAAATAAAAAACAAAATTTCCTTTTCAAATATCTTTATCTTTTTATTTTTCATATTCTTATTTAAAAAATAATTTATTATTAATCCAAAATAATTTTTTACCATTTTTCTTATCTGTTTTTTTTATATTTTTTTCTTTTTCTTTTTTAGTGAATTTTAGGGGTATTTAAACTGACAATCAGGATCAATACAATTTTGGGTGTAAATAATCTCATGTGATATCTATCTAATTATCTTAAACTAATATGCTCTTTTAAAGATTTCGATGTTATATAGCCTACCAATTATATATAGCAAGATTTTTCAGACTTTTATAGCTGTGTAATTTAGGCTTTATGCTATGTTAACTGTCAGCTGTAATCTGACTTAACAGACATCTTAGCGTAAAAGTAAAAGATCTGAAAAGTCTTTGATAGAACTTAATAATATAAACGCTTCTGTATCAGGAGGTCACTGTAACTCTTAATAATGATTTATAGATTATTAGAATCAAGTAATATTTATTATTAAATAATTGACACATTTTAATATAAAATTATATTGTTATTTTAATTTAAAATATTAATACTAAAAAAAAAAAAAAAAAAAAAAAAAAAAAAAAAAAAAAAATATAAAAAAAAAAAAAAAAAAAAAAAAAAAAAAAAAAAAAAAAAAAAAAAAAAAAAAAAAAAAAAAAAAAAAAAAA